CATCTGGTGAAAATTTCATGTCATTAGCACCTCTAGTAATATATTTACTGAGAAAAATGTTGACGTGTTCAATACTTATTTTACCCGCTGTATGCAGTGCACCGGCTCCACTGTGAAGCTAAGCTAAGAAACTAAGCAGAAATTTTGTTCRCTGTAAACAACTATCCTACAGTAGGGGTGTCCAAACTACGGCTGGCCCGCGGTACCATTTTTATTGGCCCGCAGCAAATTCTGAAAATATAATTGAAWATGGCCTGCACAAGAAGCAGTCCATTAATTGCGGAGCCTCTGAGCRTCTGATCYRGRCAGAAGAGGRCTCGTTTTAAAGCTYTGGATCTGYGCTACAACCTGGTGGTGGTTGCACGTTCCTGGGACSTTCCCCCGCGGAGATATAAGYRGTCAAATGTCGGCRGGCGAGCTCCGGCGGGTGAAACGGMTRAATTTCAGCACAGGGCTGCTGGTGCTGATGCAGGGGAATAAAAGAAAGAGATCCAGTCAGGTGGAACCYGTCCTGGAKGCTGARCACCGGGTTTTATAGCCCCCTGTCTGCTAAAAACCCCTCGGGCAATATTTCTGCAATAATGCAAAAAATTCAGAATCCCACCTGATGGATCTGTTCCAGGCAATAAAAGGAACAGACCTGATCAGGTGGAACCGGTCCTGGAAGCTCAGCACTGGATTTTATACCTGCAAGCAGGTGCAGCCCCTCGCGGGCGATATTTCTGCAAAAATGCCTAAAAATGGATAAAAATCACAAATCACAAACCACAGTGACCTTATGCCCAATAGGTGAGTTAGAAATACACACATTATTGATGTATCAATAGGTCACTCCTAGTGTGTGGCCCGGCCCTTTGTTTATTTTTCTGTATTTGGCCCTCACTAAAAAAAGTTTGGACGCCCCTGCTCTACAGAGAGGAGAGAAGTACCGAGCTGAACGAGATGTCTGTAAATGATGCCGCAGGCTTTGTGAGACTAATTTAATTTGAAGCCTTGTCAACACAGACTGAATGGCTTCATTCACTTCCTCCCCTGTTATTGCTAAACTACAGGCAGACTAAAACAGCACTGAAAATCAATGTCATTGTTTACAACTCCTCTTCCTGTTCGCTGATTGGTCCGGTGAAAAACCTACTGGAGAAATCCAAGTCAAAGGGAGGAATCCCAGATGGAGCAGAAGGGAGATTAGAATCAAGTGAAACTGTGTAGGAAGGCAATGTCCAGGCTACATCTCCTAATCTCCTAGTTTAAACTAAAGTCATTAGTGATGTGACGTTCACCAACGATCCGAATATTTTGAACGACTCTTTACAACAAACGATAGGAGCCAAGTCGTGGGCAGGAACGAGCCATTTGTAGTTTTATTTATTTTAGTCCTCATATAATCTTTATTTTTTCATCCTTAAATTGCTCCCGCTTTGCTTTTTCATGGAAAACAGGCAGAGAGGTGGAGAACAGAAGCTCACGGGAAAGGGGGATTTCTGCTTGACAAAACACATGGTTCCACCCACGTAACATGATGACATCATCACTTCGCAATACGTGATGACATACTGTATTTCCCTACGTGATGACGTAACTCGTTTAAAATCAAACGGATCTTTTGAACGGCTCCCCAAGATCCGGATCCCATCAAAGAACCATTTATCCCATCACTAATCATCACTCAATAGTTTACCTTTTCCATCAGACACCAAGAGGTTTCCACTCTTTTTCCATGAGATGTCAGCAGCAGGGTTTGAATCAGCTACAACACATGTTCCCACCTAAACAAAAAACAGACAAACAGAAGCAAAGCTAAGAACAGGATGAAGGTACAGTATATCAGTAACTACGCAGCATTAGATAAGAAACACAGTAAAGTGGGATRAAGACCCAGTATAAGTTTATAACAAACATTAAATCTGATGCAAAACCTGCCTTTTTGAACAGGATTACAAAGTTCTCCCAACAATACTTTACACATTACAGGCTTTAACTTATAAATAAAATAAAGGTTTAAGTTCCAGTATGTTTTAGAGTATTTTATAAACAGCATCAAGTGTAGTGTAATTAAATAGTTGAACATTTCTTCCATTCAACACATTTAAAGGAGACATCTAAAGTGAATCTTACTATTGTTAGTTTGTCCTTCTGTAAAGCTTCAGACGTGTCAAAAATCTGAACGGATGAAGGTGCTTCTGTAAACATGAAGAGAGAAAGACACATTTTCAATCTCAAAAAGAACATTTTCACAGCATATTTAAATGTTTCTCAGGTGTTTTCTTCTTCAGGTGTCATTGGAGTTTCAAAGGTTTATCAGCATTGTATACTGTATTTTTTTTAAATAAGTGCTAATGTTCTTATTTACTTATAGGAAATATTATTGGGTAGCTTTAAAAGAAACAATATACATTGATTTTATATCTTCTATGGTTTTTTTTTTTGGGTCTCAGTGAGTAACTTGTCTTTTTGTTTATTTCTTTACCTCAATGACAATACATTTTAAACACTTCATCTTTCACTAACTAACTTTACAACATGAACTTTTGATATGATTTGTCAAAAATAATAGCTTCATCCAGGGGCGAACTAGCCATTGGGAGTACCGGGACTTTTCCCGGTGGGCCGGTGCATCACTGGGCCGGCGCAGGC